CTGAGAAATGGCACTGGAGGCAGTCCAGTGAGCTTCATGTGTTCGAGGATACATGCACACACACACACACACACACACACACACACACACACACGCACGCACGCACGCACGCACGCATGAGCAGTGAGGGGGGAAGGTAAAACAAGGTAAGCAGAGAACATTAACTCTTTTGGTCACTGAGTAGCCATTTGTCTAGCTACCTGCATGAGTATTCTGGGCTTGGGTTTAATCTTATCCACCAGTTACATAGAGAAGGGAAGGAAGGCTATCCCACTGACCAATGACTTCATCTCTAGTCTCTAATTCTCCTCTTTCCCCTGAGACGGCTGAGCTGGCAGCAGCCACTTGAGATAATACACACACTTGGCAGGGTTTAGCACAACTTCTCCCAGACTGAACTAAAATATCCATTCTGTGCCCTCCCTACTCAGCCTGGCTCTCGATGAAGCCCACGCACCACATGGATTCCTCTAACCTGGTCACTGGAGGAGATCCAGACAGATGGAAAGACAGCCAGTGTAGAAAACATGAGAAGGGAGGGCGGCCTCCTGACCATAATGTCCAGTTCCAGTTCTACACTAGAGTTCCATGACTGTGAGCTTTGCAGCCTCAATTTTTATTATCTGTCAAATGGGGTGATAATAACATTCTGGCTACATAACCAGGATATTATTTAAAACTTTCAGGGCATGGAAATACTGTTCCTTTTTAATTAACTTATTTTATGTGTATGGGTGTTTTGTCTGCATGCTTGTCTATGTACCACATGAATGGAATACCTGATTTCCATAGAGGCCAGAAGCCCCACAAGCACTGGGGTTACAGATGGTTGCGAGCTGACAAGTAAGGTGCTGGAAATTAACAGAGTCCTCTGGAAGAGAAGCCTGTGCTTTTAACCGCTGGGCCGTCTCTCCAGCCCCATGGTGTTAACTTTTGCCACTGACATTTCACAAAGAGAAATATTTAGGTCCATCCTTCTCACCTGCAGCAATACTCACAGCTCACAAAACATCATCAGATCAACATATCTGAAGGTGTTAGGCTTTTGACAAATATAATATTTATAATTTGCACAATAGCACTAGGAGGTAGTTATTACAGATATCTTTGTGTTTCAGAAGTAAACACTAAGGTTCAGAAGATTTAGTGCTTTTCCAAAATGATGCAACCAGCTAAGTGATAGAAGCAGGATTTGAACTGTAGCCAACTGGTTCCATGCTCAGTGTACATGTGTAGACTTGAATCAAGTACTGGATTTGTAAGTGCCCAAGGGGACACATAGTATGTGGAGTTGGTGAGCGCTTAGACTTTCAGGCAGCACCTCCTACTATTTCTTTCAATGAAAAGTAATAAAATATTTGGAGATAGCCAAGTAACAAATATTGCCAGCATTTCTGTGAGTCAACATAACACAGAAATACTAGTCAATACTAGTCAAGTTCTTCAGGACTTTATACACACACAATTACTGAATGTATAAATAAGATTGATCTTGTTTCCTCCTTCCAACTTGTATGTTTTATACTTCTTATACTGTTTAGGAACCACAATAATACTAAATAAAGTTAGTACATGTTCCCAATCTCATAGAAAAAAATATTAAGACCTTCAACACGCAATGTTTACTATAAAGGAACTCTCTCTTTCCTCTCCTCTCTCTCTCTCTCTCTCTCTCTCTCTCTCTCTCTCTCTCTCTCTCTCTGCCACACACGCACACACATATCTTCCCTGTGGAAATTTTACAACCCAAAATCTCAAATCCACCTGCCAGAATCTCCAACAAGTCCCCACCATCTTGTTTGTTCACTGTGCTGATTCCATGATGAATGGACGTTCAATTTTATCAAATGATTTTGCATTTGTTCAGATGGCCATGTGTGTTTTCTTCTATAATATGACAATATAGCAAACATGTTCTTTTTCTTTTCATTTCTGGAGAGTGAGTCGAGTACCAGATTCTTAATGTTGACCAACCTTTCATTTCTGGCATAAAACTCACATAGCATGAGGTAGCACCCTTTGTTACAGATCTCAGAATCCAGTTTGTTCATATCTTCTTGAGAACTTTGGAATCTATGTTTTCAAGGGATGTGAACATGTTTGTTTGGTTTTTTTTTGTTTTGGGGGGTTTGTTTGTTTGTTGTTTGTTTGTTTTTCCCGTCTTGGTGTCCCATAAAACAAGATGGGAAGTATTGACTGTTCCGTCTTCTAGATTAGTTTTCATAGAATTGGTATTATTTTGTAATTAATCCTACATGTCCTTCGGGGACTGGATGTGCAGACATCACATCTGTGAAACCTTTCCCAGTCTCACAACACTGTCTAATGATGATGATGGTGGTGGTGAGGAGGAGGGGCACCTGCTGCATGCAGCGAGGGCACAGGCCCTAAAGAGAAGACGTTTCACATTTTCATTGAGTTTATGTTTCGAATGGCCCTGTAAGAAGACGCTATCTTGCTGTTTTATAAATGTGTAAACACAGGCTCTGAATTGATAAATAATGCACCTGAGGTCTTACATTCTCTCATCCGATCATTACTTTCCTTACTAAGAGCCTACTGAACCTCAAAGTACCAACACAGCACCTGCAGAATGAGGCTCTCACACCACAGACTCAAATGCCCCCAGAGCTGGTTAATGATGTGGATTTCCAGGATCATCCTCACTCCTCTATGATGGGAAATCCAGGGAGCTGCAACCAAGAGCATGTGTTTTAAATAAACGTTTAAACGACTTTAATATCCACAATGGGTCCCAAAGTAGCCATTGCACTAACTACATCCCACTTTGCAAGAACAGCTGTCTGTAAATGTCTAATCCATCGCTACCCAGGCCATGAACTTCCTGCTCTGTCTTTATCTCCGTGTGGCCAAACACAGTCCCTCATCTCATCATGGTGTGAGATACTTATCTAAGTAGAATGAGAAGAAATTGGAGTGTCCTATGCTCACACTCATGCTCAGACAGATCTTCAGCCTCCTCACTGGCTCGAGGGTCCCAAACCATTATCACTGGAAAATGAAGGCCACATAGACTATGCTCCTGCCTTAAGATCTTCAGGGTCCTCAAGGCTCTCTCAGTCTGCTCCCCTGAAATCACATAGAAATAATATTTGGGAGAAAAAAACAATTCTCCCAATGTCACACAGCATCTCATTCCTAGTATGAGACCTTTGCCATTTCACAGCTTGTGTGTTCAATTTCATAGGGCCTCCTGGAGAAGGCTGATGGGAAGGGGGTTCATGAGGAGGAGTGAGTGAAAAACCTAGATGGATTCATATGAGATACTATAGACAGGGAAATGGAGGGCTAGTGCCCTGAAAAGCTCACATCATCACAGTGTAAATAAATCTCTGTCCTTATTTTCTATGGAAATGGAATTCACACAATCCTGCCTGAACCTCTCTTCCTTTTAAAGACAAAAACATGGCAAATCAATCTTTGAACTTGATGGCAGTAGGGCAGGGGTGGGAAGTAGAGACTGTGGCTAGATTATAGTCCACTCAGGAGGGAACACTGCCTCTTGCGCAGTCATAACCTCTGAAAGCCTCAGGTTGTATCTGGCCAATAACGTTCACTGCTACTTTGGCTGTTGGAAGCCCAGTATGAAAGCAGTTATTGTGAGGGAGCTGTCTCTGTGGGGAGGGTGGAGGAGCTGGGAATTCATGGACTGAGACTTGTGTCACTGAGAGCATCAGAATGCAAGTGGTGAGAGTAAAACCTGCCACTAACCTGCCTTGCCTCTCTACCCCTCAAAAATTACTAGGTGGCTCTCAGCTGTTGAAGCCCGGAAACAGCGTGAACTGGGAGGTGGAAGCTAAGATTCCATGCCTCCTCCTGGGACTGGACTGTTTTCTTACCTAAAGTAGAAGTTCAAAGTCACTGACTGTTGGAGCTCCCTTCCTGCTCTGTGTGTCTGGGAACTAGTTCCCGCTTATGGCCATACTCATGTTTACATCACAGGTGTACCATAAAACCAACAACAACCCGAAATGACTCTCCCCAGCTTTCACCCTGTCTTTCTTACCTCTCCATCTGGCTGTGGCTCTGGGCAGATCTCAGCCCTGTTGTAAGAGTGTTTAGCCTCCTCTGCTGCCACTTTGTTAGTGGCAGTCCTTGGAGCATTCCCTCCTGGCACCTTCCATTCTTCATCCAGGATACTCAGGGCCAGGAAAAGCACCCGTTCTTTATTAACACCTTCTGAATCTGCAACCCCCGGCAGTGGGAAGAGGGTCTCACTAAGGTCTGTCTTCTATTAGCTCTGACCTTTGAATACCAACCCAAGCCACCCAACCATTCCTCATCTCCCTGGAAGCTCCAATTGGACATCGGGGCTTTGTGGGAAGGAGCTGAAATCCCCTCCATACCTTCAGAAACTCATCGTGAGTGGCACATCCCTGGGTAGAGGGAGTCCCTGAATGAGAGGGAAAGAGAGACACCTGGTGTGTTGAGACAGGGCTGCTGTGCTTTTGTAAATAGGAGCAGAATCTTCTGGAGATCCCACTCAGATGTTCTGTTTCAGCCAGGGAGGGGGCACTCATAGGGACATAAATCTGGCCTGGGCTGGCCTGGGTGTGCTCTGTGCTGAGAGCTCAGCTGTGATGAACTGGATGGCTGTCCAGGACTCAGCTAGTTTGCCCTGCAGATAATGACTTCAGAGCAAAGCTCTTGTCTGAAAGCAGGAGAGGACACTCTGTGGGAAATGCTTCTCAAGAGCAGTAAGTACTTCAGCTAGGAAAGAAAATTTCTATAAATTCCCAGATTACCACCTGGAAAGGCCACAATCCCCAAACTGGCGATTCTTTCCTGAGAATGCTGTAGCAACTCTAACTCCAGGGCCATCCTGGCCCCTCCTACTAGAGGAAAGCCTCCTGAGCTCCCCAGCCACCCTCAAAAGTTCATCCCTTCCCCAGAAGTTCTGCTTTTACCACTCCCAAATCTCCTTTTTCTGTGGACCCCACTTTCACCAGAACTTGACATCCAACAGACATGACACGATATCAATTGCCAATGAAGTTTATTATGCAGACACCCAGACCACAGCACTCGGAGAGCAGAATCTATTGGAGAGGCTATGTACACAGAAGCATAGTTCCCCAGACCACTGTTGGGGGATGGGATGGGGGGGGCTACCCTGGGGTCCTCAGCAGAGCACCATCTAGATATGGCTGTCAGATGGGCACTGCAAGGAGATCAGAGGTGGGACATGGCTTGAAGACACACTTGGACAACACAGATTCTTCCCCAGAACACAGTGCATGTCTCTGACTCTAATCATTAGATCTTTCATCACCCCCTCTCAAAAAGAAATGTCATCAGAGGTGGATTACAAAAATTGGGGTGGCTCTGAATTAGTGATACAGAGATACGCTGACATTCTGGTCGGGTCAGGACCCATCTCTATCTAAAAGAGAAGGTCACCCCGGAGCTACAACCTTCCCCTGAGCCAGAACCTCCCCTTTCAGAGCCAGATACTGCACCCCCAGAGCTGGACCCTCCCCTGGAGCCGCCCCCAGAGCTGTATCCACCTCCTCCAGATCCTCCCCTAGAGCCTCCTCCAGAGCTGAATCCACCTCCAGATCCAGACCCTCCCCTAGAGCCACCTCCGGAGCTGTATCCACCTCCTCCAGAGCCTGAACCTCCCCTAGAGCCTCCTCCAGCACCTCCTCCAGATCCTCCCCTAGAGCCTCCTCCAGAGCTGAATCCACCTCCAGATCCAGACCCTCCCCTGGAGCCGCCTCCAGAGCTGTATCCGCCTCCAGTGCCTGAACCTCCTCTAGATCCACCTCCAGAGCTGAATCCACCTCCTCCGGATCCTCCTCTAGAACCAGAGTTTCTGCCTCCAGAGCCATGGGTACTTCCTCCTCCATAAGACCCTCTTCCTCCAGAACTTTGACCTCCAGAGCCAAAGCCAGCCTTGGATGCCACGGATGAGGAAATGGTGCTGCTTGTCACGGCTGTAGGAGAGATAATGTCAACCCAGCAGTTCTTAAGACCTCTACCCTCCACTGCCCCATTAAGACAGGCACATGCCCCATTACATACACACAGACACGTTGTCGTTGAATTCTCCAGTCATCCTGCCGGGAGAGAAAGAAAAGGATTTGTGACTGAGCACCCAGATTCTGTGGATGAGCAGAGCTGTTTTACAGCTCCCACCTACAAGTGTGTAGTTTAGCTACTTCAGGCAGCCCCACCTATGTTGACAGACGACGGAGGATGACAGGTGGTGATAGATCCCACACTTCTATGGCCTGAATCTCAATCCATCCCGAGATCTTGATCCAATCAAAACAAACACTTGCATTGTAGATCAAGAGTGGGTGAAAGGCCCAGTCACTTCTGACTGTGTACCCCTAATTGTACTTACAGACACCTCAGGGAATCTGCTATCCAAAATCCATGTCACACCCAACATTTCAAAACAAGGCTGCACCATGAACATTGAGCAAATCTGTGAAGTTGCCTACCCGTCCTGGGCTCCCTGCCTCCTGTTTCCACTGAAGCCTTGGCTATTCCAGCCCAGATTCCAGTGCCTGGGTGGGGGGAGTAATTGCCTTTCAGACAAGTACAGAGCAGTGCTTTGGAAGGGCAGGTCCTTTGTTATGCTAGCTACTGATGCCCAGTGCTGCTGACACCCAGGCTTTTCTCCTCCCACAGCTTCACCCACCTTGAGTCCCTAAGGATGCTGATGAGAGAAGAAGCAAAGTTTTTCTCTTTAAAATAGTCAAATGATTCTGTTTGTCATTCTAGAGACCTTAAAAGAACAAAGTGTGTCCCTCCAACACATTTGATGCCATCTCCCCATTCAGGGCCAAACCATGGAAGAGAAGGAAGTCACTCTACCAACTTAGAGACAACCCCTTCCATCTGTCTACCTGTGTTCATGTCATTTTGTTTCCTCTTTTAAAGAAGACCAGAATGTTTAAATTATCACCTAGCTTAATGTCTTGTAACAGGTCGTACTTGCTATTCTCTGCGGATAAGAGAACAATGTTATCACTCTCATCCTGAATGTCTGCTTAGAGAAGCATATTGATGCCATCCTCACTAACCAGAGACCCTGCCCAGTCCTCAGCTTTCTTTCCCTTCACTCCTGTCCTGGCTCCACGACACAGGACAGTGTACACCTTATCACCCTCACCTGCACTCCTCGCCCTCCAGCAGCTTGCGGTAGGTGGCGATCTCCACATCCAGGGCCAGCTTGGTGTTCATGAGCTCCTGGTAGTCCCGCAGCAGCCGGGTCAGGTTCTCTCGGGCCTGCTGCATGGCCTCCTCCAAGTCAGTGAGCTTGTTCCTGGCATCTTTGAGGGCATGCTCTCCACGCTGCTCTGCATCAGCAATGGAGTCTTGTACACCCTTACACTATGAGAAAAAGAAAAAGAAGGTCTCTGTTTTACATAGGGTCAGCCTGCTGTGTGTGTGTGTGGGGGGGTGACAAAGGACAGGACACTCGGTGTGGGAGACCAGAATCGCTGTCTCTGGATGTCTTGGGGACCCCCTTTGGTGTTAACAGATGTTGCAGACAACTGTGCTATGACTTGTAGCTGCTGCCCGTAAGCTATCTTCCTCCTACATCCCTTTGACCAGACCCATTGGCTTTCCCTACAAACGCTCTTGACCCTCCTAACACAAGAACTCATCGTCCATCCCATTCTATGTGCAAATGAAGAAACTCTCTTTCGCAGAACTTCTGCTACCTATTAAGCAGACTCTGCCCCTAGCAGTCAGTTCCAGAGCCAATGTCCAATGTGGACCAGCTCCCTCCCACTCACTGCCCCTCTGTGAATACAGTCATCCCAGTGCTGTGTGATGGAACAAGAAGCTATGCCTCCTATCACAACAAGCCAAACAAGATCTTGCTTTATTTGCTGTTATTCCCTTTAAGTCAAGCAACTCTTTCCCTTCCCTGCTCTTCACTTCAGAATGTGACTTGAACTACTCTAAAGGTCTGAAATAGCATTGGTCTGGAGGAGACTGAGATTGCTGTAAACTAGACTGAAACTTGCAGTTTCTTTTTTGTCCCTCTATCTCTTCCCTACACTTGGAGGGATGACAGGGGAACCCACCCTGAGCCCCAAGCCACACCTGCTTCTTCACATGTGATATCTCCCCTTGCAGCCTTTGGATTGTGCGGTTCAGCTCGCTAATCTCCATCTTGATCTCTTTCAAGCTCTCCCCGTGTTTCACAGCAGTGACCTGGAGCTCTTCATACTGATGAGGGAAAAGACAGTTCACAGGGAAGTTCAGTTTGAGGAAGGCTTAGCCTGAGCTAAAGAAGGCCAGTGACTGGCCGAGGATGGTCAACCCACCTAAGAAACCATCTCACATGCCCCCCGAGGATTTAATGCCATTCTCTGTACTGTCATGGGAATGGTGCTCAGTTTCCATTAGACAAACACTCCCTTCCTGGATATGAGGCTCCCCCTGCATCCCCAGGACTTGCCTTGCTGTGGTACAGCTCCTCTGATTCGGTCTTGCTCTTATGGGCAATGATCTCATATTGATTCTGAACCTCAGCAATGATACTGTCCAGGTCAAGGTTCCGGTTGTTGTCCATTGACAAGATGACATTGGTGTCAGTGACAGTCTGTTGTAGCTGGGACAGTTCCTACAACACAAACACACACACATACACTGATTATTCATGGTATTTTGCCCACAGCCACAGACATTGAGAGGCCTCCCTTCCCTGGCATTGAGGAAATATAGACGCTCAGACTAAGTATGCCTTGGGTGAGATGAAAAGTGGTGTCACCACAGGGCTATCCCCAGGATGAAGATGATGGCAGAAAGGTGTTTATGGGCATCCTTATAAAATGCCTTTGGCACTATGTCAGTAGGCCTCAGAAAGAACCCAGTCCATAGCAAACTCCTTTTAGTTTCCTTCCTATCTCAGAAGTGGGCTCGGGAGTAAGCAGGAGGCATGATGCATTTTAACCTCTGGAGTATAATGGGCACCTGGGCACAGGAAGGTCACTTCTGAAGGAAGCTGGAAATGCAGGGGATGGAGGAAAGGGATGTTGACCTGCTGTGTCCAGACCTCATGTGACATCAGAGGGAGAAATTCCTCACCCCCAACCCTGCTCTAGGAAAACACCTTAGAGGACTGCAATGGTCTCATTGCATTAAAGTCAGCCCATCAAAAATTCCATTCCAGCAGACTTTTCAAAAATTGGAAAGAACTTTTCTTTAGTGGGAAAGGCAGAAAGTAAGGGTCTGTGGGGGACAGCTTCCTTTACCATGTCATAGAGTGTTCTCAGGAAATCAACTTCCTGCATCAGTGTGTCCACCTTGGCCTGCAGCTCTGTCTTGTCCATGTAGGAGCTGTCCACATCCTGCAGAGAAGTTAGAGAGAGGCCTCTGGAGCAACTCATATGCCCCACCTTGACTGGCCCCCTGATTGGTTCCAGATTCTCTCTGCTACCTCCACCTAGTGTCTGTTAGCTGCCTCCAGTATCCCCAGCACTTCGAGGTGAGCTGTATCTCCACAGACCCTCATCTAGTATATAAACTACCATACACCTCTGTGGGGAGCTCCATGCCCAGATCAACTGCTCACTCATCCCATTATCAAGAGAGCTTTCAATGGACCAAGCATTACTAACTAGTATCCCTCTTGAGACATGGTGTGTTCCCATAACAGGTGAGATGTCTTCCACAGTCTTCATGCCTTCCATCCTACCTGTTCATCCAAACTCTCCTGAACTTACCTGGATTATTCTCCAAAACCATTACAGAACCTAGGCTAACACTTTGTAGTTTTCTAGCTCAAACCTATATTGGCATAACTTGTCAGGAAGCAGACATTCTGCAGTATCCCACTCCTCTGCTTTCTAGGAAAATAAAATGCTTTTTTTCTGTTGACATTTTTTCATGACACTCTTTATTTAACTTGGTTATCAATGGAAGTGCTCTCCCAAATACAGTAGGCAAATTGGAAAGTCGCCCATGGAAATTAGAACCCAGAGGCCCTGTTCTTCTCAAGCAAACCAGCTCCTGGCATTCCCCACCCTATCGCTGGCTCTGTGTGTGTACTCTCGGTGGTTTTCTGGCTGTCCCTCCAGACATGGTGAGGTGTAAAGCCGTCTGTCCCTACCCTACCCAAGGTATTCTCCTGCTCACCTTTTTAATTGTCACAAACTCATTCTCTGCAGATGTGCGCTTGTTGATTTCGTCCTCATACCTGTTGAGTCCCCAAAAGACAACAGCAGTTAGACAAGTTCTAGTTGGCCAGCTCCCTTCTTTCCCTTTTTCTACTGGAAAATTAAGCTCTCTTTAAATGCTTAGATTAAAACCATGAAAGTTCAAAATGAAGGTAGATTCTATTCATTAACTCAAGCATGTATAAGCTCCAAAATCCTGCCTTCTTTGTAGTCAACAAAGATGCCCCTCCACACCACCCTGGTACATGAGCACAACGCTGCTGAGAGGTCAGTGAGCGAATGTCTACAGTCAAAACTCCATGTCTATGTGAGGTTTCCTCGGTCACCTACTTCTTCTTAAAGTCTTCCACGAGATCCTGCATATTGTTCAGCTCTGAGTCCTGTGAGGTTCTTTCAGCTGCAAGCCCATCCACTTGTTTCTTGAGCATACTAATATAGGCCTGGAAGATGGGGTCCAGGTTGGTAGTTCGGGTACCCACATCCAGCTGCTGCAGAAGTTCCCATTTGGTCTGCAACACCTGGTTCTGCTGCTCCAGGAATCGAACCTACAGTGGTCAGAGGAAGAATACATAAGGTCCAGGCCACCTGTCACACCAGTGAGCCACTTATGCCCCCCAGAACCTCTGGTGCTTCAGGGGATATAGAAGTCACAATACTTCACCCTCACCATCTGAAGGAGGTTGGGAAACACCAGGCAGGACTTCTGAGGCCCCCAATATCACACATGGGAAGGGTTATAGCCCTCTGACACTGTGTCTGTCCCACTCTGCTCTCAGAACTCTCCTACTTCATAGTCGCTGACATTTCCCTCCCCCCATTCTAGTACTCTGCCAGGGTTTCATAAATTCTGGAGAAAACAGAAAGCAGGCATCTGCTGGCCCAGTAGCAGTTGGTACCAAATAGGAGAGTCCTGGGAGGTGGGCAGGGCTCCTCCACCTCAGTTTTAAGAACCTTGTAAATTCCTGTCTAATTCAAGGCAGAGGAACCAAGACAGTAACACCCCAAAGTAACACCAATAAAGATTTTAGAAGTCACCAAAATGAGACTGGTTCTCTTGAGGCCTGGAATTCTATTCATCCCCAAACAAATTCCTGGAATTTATTAGACTAATAACACTCAATAGAGACAAAAACTACCCTTTCTCACTATCACCTTCCAATCCTGCTGTCACCTGGCCTGACCTGCTGTTACTACTTGCCTATTTCAACTCTTCTATGATGTCAAAATTTTCTATAAATAGTATATATTTGGACTGAAAAATAAAGTGCAAAAGAAAAAAAAACTGTAGAATTGTAGTCCACAAAACCAGCATCTCTCCCATTTAGAATTCGCCAAGGCTCCTGGCTTTGGTGGCCATATCAATGACTCCTAAGATAGTCAGTCCATCGTTGTCTTTTCATCCAGCACAAGCAGAGCATCTCATCCCAGAAGCAGCGGCCTCTCTGACTCACCTTGTCAATGAAAGAGGCAAATTTGTTGTTGAGAGTTTTTATCTGTTCCCGTTCCTGAGACTTCACATTCTGGATCTCTGGGTCTACTTTGACATCAAGAGGCTGCAGTAGGCTCTGGTTGACCGAAACTTCATGGATGCCTCCACCAGGAAATCCTCCAGGCCCTCCAAAGCCTCCAAAGCCGCTGCCTCCTCCAAAACGGCCTCCACCAAAGCCGCCTCCACCAAATCCACCACCTCCGAAGCCACTGCCACCTCCAAAACCACTGCCTCCTCCGAAGCCACTGCCTCCTCCGAAGCCACCGCTGCCTCCAAATCCTCTGCCTCCTCCAAAACCAGAGCCACCTCCGAAGCCACCGCCGCCTCCGAAGCTGCTGCCGCCTCCGAAGCCACTGCCACCTCTGCCACCAAATCCACCACCACAGCCAGCCACGCTAGTAGAGATGCTCTTGTACCCTCCGAGGCCGACCAGACTCTGACTGCCAAAGCCACCTCCACCAGAGCCTCCTCTGCCGCCACCATGGCGGCTCAAGCAGGAAAAGCCACTGGTGGATCTCCGGCTCCCTCCAGAGACCACAGCAGAGCCACTACTGAAGCTCCGGAATCCACCTCCGCCTCCTCCCCTTCGAGACTTGCAAGAGATCTGACAACTCATGATGGCTTTTTGTTGTTATTCAGCAAGGAAAGTAGAAGAAGATACAAGCAGATCCAAGGCTGGAGACTGAACTGTACTGTTGGGAGACTCGCAGGGTCCTCTTATATACCTGCCAACTAGGTGTTGGTGAACTTGGGTGTGGGCCCACTTATGCATGGGTTTGGTCTGCCTGGAAGCTATTCTTGGTGAGTGATTATCAACCTAATGGCCATTAAAACATCTACTAATCAGCCCCATTCCAGAACCTGCTTCGATTGCGAACTCCTGTTTATCTGTGCATCTGTCACGCAATTTGATTTTTGTAAAATCATCAGAAGAGCAGATTAGGCTTTGGGTTTCTCAACTTGAAAAAAAAAAAAAGTCCTGCAAAATGCTGCTCCCTGTTCTGGACCGACCCATGGGAAGCTGGCCACCACCCAGGCCTGTGTGGGCTTACCAAAGACTCTGAGAGCGCTCACTCCAGCTTTCCACCTCTCCTGCTTCCCTGTGGCCCAAGCTGGGGAGGGTGACAACAGTGGAGACTCGGCCTTAGCTTACAGAGAGAAACTGGCCTGCTATGCTGCAACAGTGTAGCCATTTATCAGAATCTCTCAGTCCCCTTCTTCTCAGGCCACACAAAACATACACATAGGCAAACACTAGGGAAGGAACCCTTTTCATTTCTGTCTGCAGGAATTGTTATAGCCATCAACTCTGTTGCTTTCTGCAGGAACGCAGAGGAAATGAAGGATGAAAGGACTAGCGAGTTCTGTCCTTAAATCTGTGACTCAGGGCACTCGTGAAAATGTTGCACAGACTAAGTGTGGCTTTGAGATCCAAGTGTGGACCAACTCTGCTGCTCAGGAACCTTGTGGTTCTGAAAGCAATGAGAAGGAAGGCTCTTTGCTGACATTCAAAGATGGGTAAGCGTTGGGAAACCCAGCCAGCCTCTCTGTCTGCAGTCACAGAACATCACACTAAATTCAGGCACTCTCTCCTGTCCTTGTGGCTACACAGGCAGGACAGACACTGAGGGAGAGATAGAATCAACCCAAAGTCAAATTCCAGGTTCCAATCTTAGTTTTGTCATATGTTGGCGGTTGGACCTTGAATTAAACTTTGAGGCTTTGTTGCCTTAGCTATGGAGTAGAAAACTGATATGCAATGTTTTGGTAACTATGCTATTACAAATGTTAAATGCTGTTATTTTGAGTGAGACAAAGATATTTTCTTTTTCTTTCAGCCTCAGTGTGCTAGTCTCCTTCTCATGGCTTAGGTCACACTTTCGTGGTTTGAGAGAAATGGCATTGTATAACTATCATGCTGTTCTGTGAGCCTGGGTTGCTCAGTTTCCTCACCTATAGAAAGTGAGAGGAAGAGGAGGAAGAAAAATTGGAGGAGGAAGAAGAGGAGGAGGAATAGGAATAGAAGAAGGAGGATGAAAAAGAAGCACACACGTGCAGGATACAGTTGCTAGCTAATAACTGAAGCTCAATGAATTTTATTTACCCTCTTGTTCTCCCCCTTCTCTGCCCTATGTGGTAACTACATGGCAGGGATGGGAACAGAGATAAGGAACGGAGAACTTGTTGTGCTATTAGATTTGCAGTAAAAGAATGCTGAACAAAGCAACCCAAGAGTCTCCTCGATTTTTTTCCAATCCAGCTTATATAATTACAATCATGCAAATAAACTAGAAAGCTAAAAGCTTTAGTGTCTCCATCCAAAGCCAAATGTGTCATTATCTATGGGTATCCAAGCAACGCCCTAATTGTCCATTACTCCACTATGACTCTGTTGAGGCCACACCAGCTTCAGAGGGGTCTTAGTCCCTAAGTTAAGAGAAGGGATAAACATTTAGTGGGCATCTGCCATGTCTCAGTTTTGTGCCCAGCACTTGGTCAACATAAACATTTTAATTTTGCTCTCAACAATCTCCACTGAGTATCTGCCCCTTCTAGACCCAGTCTGTGGTGTGTGAAAATCAAAGAATCAAAAAAAAAAAATCATCTTCCTCTACTGAAAAGTGGGGGGTTAGAAGTAATAGATCTCAGTCATTACATAAGATTTTGTTTTTATTTCACCTTTTTAAAAATAATTTCAATGAATTTTAAATATAGCATGTTTTGCATTATTGAAGGCAATGAGATGGGAATTAATACTCTTAGTCTAGCTACGGTTGATGTGCATGTCCATGGGAACCTTTATCCCAGATTGTCACTGTGCCACAAGGACATTAGCCTCCTGGTGAAAGCACAGCTCTTGTCTCTCAGAACAGAGCGGGACTCCTGTGGTCCAAACCCCTTCTTGCTCCCAGTACCTTTTTAAATAAGTTTCCAGCAAACCCAAGGCCCTGGCGCTTTTCATGGGTTTGCAAAGCAAATGCCTGTCTGTTGGCCAGTGGGGCAGAACCCTGAGCCCATGGTGGTGAGCAGAGGGGAGTCAGTTCTGTAGCCCACAGAAATGAAGTCTAAGCAGGTGTGGAGCTGACAGCAGGAGTCTTCCACGCCATACACACGCCTTAGCAGCATGTTCTGTACCGCGCCCTCTGCACGGTCTTCCTTATGTCCCTAGACGTAGCAGGGAAGAGCCAAGGTCATCATCTTTACCAGGAACATCCATCTCCCATCGTAGTCACCCCAGGAATAAGCCTGCTACCAAAAACTCATTTCTCGGGTTTGGTTTGGGACTGCAGGTTGGCCCTGGTGCAGGACTACAGTGGTGACTTTGCCTGTGTCTTTGCAGCCTCTCCAGTAATCCCTGTGGGAGTAGTCCCACGTTTCTTCATGATTTCAAACAAGCTCATCTCCCTTTCCCAACTGAACAGAATACCCAGACACTCTGAGGATAGAAAACAAGCATTGGGTTTTTAAAAGCAGAAATAAAACAAACAAATCACAGCCATCCCCCACCCCTCCTCCAGCCTCTGATTGCTGAAAATGGCAAAACCCCAGCGTGGAGCCAGTCATGTCCCACAGCGGCCAGCATGCCCACACTGCCTGCAGCCCCCGTGTGCTTCCATCTAAGCACAGACAAGCTGCTCCAATGAGCTCCATCACAGAGCCAGTGGCCGCAAGGAAAGGTGGGACAGAGCCTGGCAGGCTCCCAGTCGGAGACACTTGCTCAACTTCTCCCTCCAGGGCCTTTCTTTGTAAACGATTATTCTAAACTGCTTACTCAGTCCAAGTCCTAGGCCCTGACCCAGTTCCCCATCCCAGCTCTAGCCTCCCCCTCATGTGTTACCTAACCTATTCAATTTTTAGTAGTTTGGGCTTTGCTTACCCCGTTCTCTGAAAGGAAAACATGTGGCTGCTGCTTTTAAGGGGCCCTAGACAAATTGGCTGTTACTGGAAAGGTTAACTGGCAGTTCCCATAAGCCTGGCTCTGCAGGACAGCCCCAGAATGAAGACATTCCAGGAGATACATGCCAGGCTTCTGGAGAAAGCAGGGTGTGCAAGCTTCAGAAGTGGAGGGACAATGAGGACAGGGCTAGGCCCGGTGGCCAGCAGGCATTTGACACGTTTGTGGAATGCAGTGATTAGAGAAAAACAAATCAATAAATCGGTGTGGACACCAGCATAGAGGCTGGATTATAGTTGGTAATGAATGAATGTGACTTCTCCTTTGCTGTGGACATATATGACATATGCAATTTAATTGTGTGTGTGTGTGTGTGTGTGTGTGTGTGTGTGTGTGTGTGTGTGTGTGTATGTTTTGAAAAGGGTCCCATAACCCAGACTAGCACTAAGCTCAAGGTGCTCCTGCTTTAGGCTCCAAAGAGTGAGGATTATAGACATGTACTGCTGTGCCCAGCTTTCTGGCCCAGAATACTGTATTCCGTACTGCGGATTTGTTCTCAGCATGGTGGTTCTGTAGCTGCATCAGCTCCGTTTCTTATGCAGGCATCCTAAAGGTTCATGAAGACCTGTCCCCTGTTGGCTAACATGCTACAACATGGTACATGTGTGGTCCCGTGCCTTCGTTCCTACAGGGAGAACTGCAAAGGGTTGTCCATGGACAGCACTGCTGCTGCAGCCCCAATCCTCCTCCAGCCATATGTTTCCACATTGCCCCTGCCAGGCCTGGGCACTCAAACCTGGAAGGACCAGGCTGTCAGGTGTCCTATCTCACCCTAGACAGGAATCAACCGAATCATCACAGCCATGTGCTCATGCTGTCCTCATGGGTCAGAGACTCCTCGGGCTCTCCTGTGTTCAGTGTTACCCCCTTCTCACCCAGCCTCCCCCACCCCCACCGTACTGCCACCATCGACCTTCATAATTCATAGCTGGCCTCCCCTCCCCCTCCCCAACACCAGAGGGAAGAGTTCCTTCGTCTTGTCAGAGTTTCTGTATTGCCTCCATGGGGGTAACTGTAGGTGGAGGCTGGTGGAGGGATGCCCTCTCCCCCCCAAAAAAATGAATCAAAATAAGCATTTGATCAACTTTTATTTTAAAAGCCTAAATTCAAGTGATCCCTGCTGTTCAGTCTAGCAATGAAGTTTTTATAAACCATCTAGAACAGCCACAGGCTTCATCCTGGGTGAGGTTTTCACTATAAAGAGTTGGGGAAAGGCAATTGTTTTTGTTTCTTGACATCAAAAACAATAGATCTTGACAATTATTCTTTTAAAAAAACTTTAAATTTAAAAAAAAATCACAAATAAAACCATTGCTAATTAAGAGATTAAAAATAGAGCTAGTACAGTCATTCACCAAGGATGTATTAAATTTATGACCTGAATTACATTTTTATGAGCTTTGGGCACACTTCACAGCCCATCAGGTATTCAGAGAAGTGTGTTCATCTCTGGTTAGCAGACTTTTACAAGGGAAGCTGAGTGGTAACCCAGGAAGAGTGTGTTTAGGAGTAAAGGTCAAGTCCTTGCACCAGAAAGGACATATGTCACCTGTTCGCATCAACTCACTCGGCCCCATTCATTGCCTGTGGACCCTTGGAGAAGGTGTCAGTGAACCTGGGTCTGCTGACTGCGACCACTCTGGGCACAACCCCTAGCCATTCTGGGCTTTGGGTT